CAAAATTTGGCCGGAAAATTATAAAATAAAAAATAAATAATTTTTAATAAATAATTAATAATAAATAATAAATAATAATTTTATTTTATTATTTTATTAATTTATTAATTTAATTTAATTTAATTTATTATTTAATTTAATTATGTGCGGCCCAAACCAAATTTTCATCTTCTAATATGGCCCAGGGAAGGTGAAAGGTTGGACACCCCTGATTTACACCAAGACAAATTCCTTGTGTGTCCAATCACACTTGGCCAATAAAGTATTCTATTCTATTCGTCTGGCTTCCCCATTGACTTTGCTTGCCAGAAGGTCGCAAAAGGGGATCATGTAACACGGCATCCATCATAAATATGAGTCAGTTACCAAATGTCTGAATTTTGATCACATGACCAAGGGATGCTGCAAAGTATGAAAAACGGTGATAAGTCACTTTTTTAAAAACTTCAACAGTCTCTAAACAAACTGTTTTAAGTCAAGGACTACTTGTAGATTGTTGGCCTTTTCAGCTTCCAGGGACGCAAGGGGGTTGAAATCCAGCTGATCCAAGAAAGTAGCTCTAAGAGGATATTTTTCCTGTCCCTGTCCTCCCACTCTCTGTTACACCTTTGGTGCTTTTTATTCATCAATATCTTTAAATATATATGTCACCTATTTCCCTAACAATTTCAGATTTACAAGGAGAAATAAAAAACACCATCCAAAACCCTGAGGAAATAAACATGGCTTCAGCCACGGTTCATCTTTTCTGGGCTATGCTAGGAAGTCAAAATAAAAATTCCCAGGAGGCAAACCACTCCTGGAACATTACCAGGAAAACTCAAGGACATCTGTGCCTTTTTAAATAAATATGCTCTGAGCCTCCTTTTCAACTTTTAATGATGGGGAGGATTGTTTCAACTTCAGTGGCCATTTATTCCAATGCTAGATAGTTTCTTAAAAAACAACAACTTGGACGTGGTAAATCCTCGGATTAGAGCCATCGAGAAAACCTAGCGAAATTTAGAAAATAAAAAACATCTTGCAAAAAAGAGCAAAGGCAAGCCATATTCATAACACGGCCAAGAAAACTGCATGGATATGTCCACAAAATCACAAAGCATCGAATTCAATTTGAAGGAGATTTTACCAGAGGTGGTATTCAGCAGGTTCTCTGACCAGTTCTGGAGAACTGGTACCAGAAATTTTGAGTAGTTCAGAGAACCGGCAAATACCACCTCTGACCGGCCACGCCCCCATCTATTTGCTGCCTCCCGAGTCCCAGCTGATTGGCTGGGTCTTCTTTGGAGAACAGAGCTGGAAAGCAGGTTAGTGAGGTGGGGTGGGAATGGAGATTTTGCAGTATCCTTCCCCTGCCACGCCCACCAAGCCATGCGCACCAAGCCACGCTACGCCCACCAAGCCATGCCCACAGAACTGGTAATAAAAATTTTTGAATTCCACCACTGGACTTTACATATTTAGGACTTCCACAGGTCTTGCAAAACAGCAGCTCCCCACCTTCGGGGCACCAGGGACCAGTTCTCTGGGGACAGGTTTTTCCACGGTCCACAAGGAGTGTGGTTTTGCATGCTGTCTGAATCCCGCAGATGGGGCTTCACTTGTTTGCATGGCCCAGTTGCTGCCAGCCCACAGAACGGTAGTTGGGGACCCCTTTTGTAAAGGATCTTCAGCACTAAACGTAACTCCCTACCAAATAAGTGGACATAATTCGTCTTTGTGTCACAAGGATTTCTTGAATTGGCTTCTATCCTCCCCAACAGGAAGAAGTCCCATGTGTTTCTTTTCAGTGTGGCTAGACAAATACTTCCAGGGGTGTGCTAAATCTACTCATGCAGAGCTCTTGGTATATTATCAGCTTCTATGTGATTCTATGTGACTATTTTAATATTTTGCATGGAGCAGACAGAAGATAGTAAGGGATTTATTTAATTTTTACATATAATGTTGGAAATTTCCCATCCACAAATTTCACTGGAATTTCAACAAAACCAATTTTCTTTTATAGCATAGTTTCCATTACCTGTTCCCAAAGCCTTTCCCCCATTTCAGTTCCATCTAGACACGCCAGACAAAAATTTTTGATTACTAACCATCCCATCTCAGATTTACAGGAAAAGGAGTCCAACACTTACTAAAATCTTCGTTGATTCTATTTCCCCCTGTTCTAAAATGTTCCTTAAGAGGTTTTCTCAGCCTTGCCAAAGCACTTTTGGCCCATGGTTATTTTCGCCAGAGTAAAAACAGTCGCATTTTCTCAAACCTTTATTTAGAGTGACTTCCATGACGATTCTGTCCTTTGGTCCTGGTCCTTTACGACTAGAAGACGAAATATCTCCATCTTCACCACAGGGAAATGGGGCTCCTCCACTGGCATTGGAGCTGGGAGAACTGGACCGGCTCAGTAATATGGGAGTTGGGCACGGTGTAAGGCTCGGGCTGCGGAGTCTGGTTCGCACTGTGAGAGTCACCACACCTTTCTTGAGTTGCTAAAGAAGCAACAGGGTGGTTAGGTTTCTAGTATCGCCGCTTTTCCTTTCTCTCAAAAACCAAGATATGAATTACACATCTAGAACTTGGAACATGTCTGGAATCATTAAGTGGAACATCTGCTCTTGATTAAAAAAAATACAGTACAGTGGGAATTGATCACCACAGTGGATCATTCTTTACAATTTGATTTAGAAGTTCTGTTGCCTATGTGTGTACAGGTAATCCTCGACTTATGGCCACTGTTGAGCCCCAATTTTTTTTGTTAAGTGAATTTTGCCTCATTCTACAACTTTTTGTGCCACAGTTGTTAAGTGAATCACTGCAATTGTTAAGTTAGGAACATGGTGGTTAGAGTAATTTGGCTTCCCTATTGGCTTTGCTTGCCAGAAGGTCGCAAAAGGGGACCATGTGACCCTGGGACACTGCAACCATCATGAGTCAGTTGCCAAGCATCTGAATTTTGATCATGTGACTAGGGGGTGGGCTGCTGGGTGTTCTCAGGGGTTTGAGAGACCCTCTAGCTAAGATTCTGCACAGTTAGGAGAACCCACAAATCCCACTCCTGGCTGACCCTGCCCACCCCACCCCGCCCCTACCCGGAGACCCCATGTGGCCTGTTTTGGATGCTGGTAAGTGCAGGGCAGGCACGGAGGCTCAGGGAGGGCAAAAAACGGGCCTCCCAGAAGTTTCAGAATGCCAGAAACGGGCTCATTCCCGGCTTTCAGAGAGCCTCCGGAGCCTGGGAGGCTGTTTTTGCCCTTCTGGAGGCTCGAGGAAAGTCTCCAGTGCCGGAGACCGATTAGGCCACGCCTACCATGGCCACGCCCACCTAGCAACCAGGCAGAGAACCCGTTGCTAAAATTATTGAAGCCCACCCCTGGGATATTGCAATGGTTGTAAGCGTGAAAAACAGTCATAAGCCATTTTTTTCAGTGCCACTGTAACTTTGAATGGTCACTAAATGAACTGTGGTAAGTCGAGGACTACCAGTCTCAACATATTCCTTTACCTAAGCAATATTTTTTACCAACCTTGCCTAAGGTATCTATTATGGTTATAGAAAATGTAGATGCCAATGAAAATTATTTTTCTTTGTATTGACATTGCTTTGTCCAGGACCCATGAAAACCAACTCCAAAAAAAAAAAAAAAGATGCTGGAACAAACAACCTTTCTGAATCTGAAATTCCCCATCACTCAGTCATGTAGCAATTTGTTTTTAAGACAGAACAAATATAAAAAATAAAAAAGTGGACACTACAGCTTTCCCCACCCACCTGGATATACCATCCAGATGTGTGGTACTATAACTTTTATTTTTTCTCAGCCAACAAGATCAGACTGGTTCTGAACTTTGAGAGTTTTGAAGGACATCAGTCTGGATAAGTTACATGTGGGAATGCCATGCTGACCAGGTGGCAGATATGTTTGCATTATGAACATACTATTAAGTTTTGCAGACTTACTAAAACCCTGCAATTCTGTTACCTACTTTGAATGTTTGAATTGCCTCCTGATGCGTCAGCCCTTGTAATGATTCCCCATTAACTTCCAGAAGTTCGTCTCCTGGAAACCCAAAGCAAAATGTATTATCAGCATTTAGATACAATGAAATGCTATTTTTAGAAATAAAAGGCATTCTAGTTCTTTCCATATTATTATATTACAACATATTTTATCTCTTGCTTTGCTCGGATAAATTAAATTTTAAAAAGTGAAACGTTACTTTTGACCTGGAATTTTCATTAGACTATACAAATTTGGAAGCATTTTGTAATTTAGTTATTTTGTGCATTTGGAATTTTGGAAGCCTAACAAGGGGGGGAAAGGCTTAGCAGTCATTCTTATCCATTAATGGTAGCAAAAAGAGAATTTTCAGGAATGAATGGCTCACAATACATGGGCCAGAAGCGGAACAGCTGAACTTTGTTGGATGAAATCTCTTCCAATTTCAGGATTCAGAATGATTTAAAGGTAGGAATGGGAGGTTGGATTATGATCTGGATCTTGGGTGAAGAACTGTTTGTTACCAAATGTGATATAGCACAAACTATGGCTCCTGGATATGGTTTGTTACAAGATCATTACATTACACTGCATTACACAAACTATGGAAAGAGCTGTCCCCTACTCTCCCTTGGCAAGAAAAAATCTGGTTTATATTGTGTTAAAACATCAATATTTCAGATGTCTCTCCTTGGAAACATCTGAAATATCAGAAGGAAGTATCTGGAAGGAATGAAGCCATGGCTCCAAAGAGGAGAGTTTATATTAACCACTTCTCCTTTTGCTCTGGCCACGAAGGAGTAGCATCTCAAAAACCAGGTTCTGTCAATTCACTATTCATGAGTTTTCCCCCCCCACTTACACGTTTGGCAGGAGGAACAGGTAGAATAGGTAAATATGGGCTTGGGAAGTGGTTAATTTAAACAAATTGCTAGGCTAACAAAATCTGGTTTTTGCAAACTTACCTTCTTTTAACCTGCCATCAGCTGCTGCAGCCCCATTTGGAAAAATTGTCTTGACAAAAATGCCCATCCGACCCCGGGCTGAATCTTGCCCCCCAACAATGCTGAATCCAAGACCCTGCAGCATAGGTACAAATTAAGACAGAGGGAGAGAAAGAAATCTATATATATAAAAGCGAAATACGACTCATACATCATCACAAAATCTCCAGAACCGTAAAGCCTACAAATTTAAATTTGGCACATATGTTCCTCTTGGCTTCTAGGGACTTGCTAAGAAAGGATTTTTCGAAATGACCATCAGAGCATTAGTATTTCGTATATTATTATTATTAACACGCTCTGATGCTAGGGAGTTCTACTCCCCCTCCCCTCCCACCTGAAAAGAAATCTCTTCCGAATGCAAAACACAAGTAGAGGAGAGGAATTTCAGATTCGGTTTCACAGCAGCAACCAGCTTCAGTACAGAACAGTTGAGCTAAGCCACACCCAGGCTCCTTGCTGTCTCCTTCTTGCTCACACAGCAAATATTGTTTCAGTTTCCAAACAGCCCTCAACTCTCTCACACACTGACAAGACACTAGCCACATGAATACAGATGGATGCTGGTAGGCAGAGGCAGAATTCCCTCCCTCACTATTTTCCTCCCCCAAAACTAAATCCCACCACATAGTTTCGTACTGAAGCACAGGTATTGAACTAGTACCCCATAAGAATCTCCACAGGCAAATACCCCATAACTTCTATGTCTATGGAGATTCTTAGCCACCCAGATCATGGTTGTCCCAAAGGTGCTTTTTCAAGAGGCAACTGGAATTCAGGTCTTTCTTTGAAGACCTTTCACTTCTCATCCGAGAAGCTTCTTCAGCTCTGTTATTTGTTGAAGCTGAGCTGAAGAAGCTTCTCAGATGAGAAGCGAAGTGTCTTCAAAGAAAGACCAGAAAGATCAATTGCTTGATAAAGTACCTTTGGGACCCCATAACTTCCCAAATCACAAAGAACAGGCATCTGACTGAGTAAACTAAACTAACTAAACTGTGTTTTTTTAAAAATCTTTGTTCTTAAACAGTAAGAACAGTAAGAAAAAAGAAGTTGTTTTAAAAGGAAGGAAGAATATATTATCTCCTCACAATGCTAAGTTTTAGAATTAGCAGAAGTAGCTCCATGCTGTGTTTTCAATGAGAGCCTGAAATACAGCTTTGGCAAAATATCTTAAGATGTTTTGGGCAGACTGCAAAAGGAAAAAAAACCTGAAATGAATAGGCAAATATCCAATTAAAATTAGAGTTCTGTGGGCAAACCTCATTGAATCTGTTAAAATGCTGGGAATCAAGTTATGCACTGAATTCCCTGACTTTTCTTCAGAGGCAACCCAATTAAAACATACCCAATAATCCAGCAAGACAGCTGAACAGCATTAATTACCTTGCCCAAATGATATCCAACAGCTGGTCAACCAGAAAAAAATGATATAAGACATTTTGGGCTATTGAGGCTGGGTTTTTTTTTTTTTTTTGGTCTTCCCTGAGGTTTTCTCATCAAGATTTTTTTTATCATTGGACATTGTCTTCTTTCTAGGACTGAGAGAAAGTGACCGGCCTAAAGTCACTCAGCTAGTTTTGCACTTAAGATGGGTCTAGAACCGTGATGGCAAATCTGTGGCACGCAGAGCCATTTGTGCTGGCACGCGATCCGCAGGCAAGCTTACCTCACTGCACATGCACGGGTCTCCCAGCTGATTTTCGGCTGGTTTGAGGCCTTTTTCGGCCTCCCAGGCTTGAGGAAAGCCTCTGCAGCCTGAAAAATAGGCCCGTTTCATTACTTCCTGCATTTCCGGAAATCCTGGAAGTGACGAAACGGGCCTATTTTTCAGGCTTCAAACAGGTTGAAAATCAGCTGGGAGGCGCAGTGCAGGTAAGGGGGTGGGGGGATTGTATGCACATGTGCAGGGGGCGTGCGCGCATTGCCCTCTGGGTGCTGGCACGTGGGCGTGCATGCACAAGCGCACGCACAATTTTTGGCACAGGAGCCCAAAAAGGTTAGCCGCCACTGGTCTAGAACTTACGGTCTCCTACTTTCCAGACTGATGCTTTAACCACTAACCAAAGCGGCTCTCAGCACTGATTAATTTCTAGTCACAAAGAGTGGGCTCTTCAGTGTAAAATAATCCTAAATGGGGTATACAGTATTTATAAAGACCCCCAATCTTTTACCATCAGTGACCCCATATTCTCAAAAGGTATGGAAAGCACCTTTCCCTCCTATACTGTACCAACTATTATCATCATCATTTTGAACGATCCCATAATCCCTTGCGGAGTGGAGTCTGGGCAACTGAAATGAAGCTAGCAGAGTGTTTACTGGCCGGATGCTCTTCCTGTCGCCAATGCGGAGTTTTGTTCAGCAGATATATTCTCATTGTGCCCAGAGAGAGAAATATCTACCTCTACCTAGGATCGAACTCACAGCCTCCTGATTGTGAGGCGAGAGCTTCACCTCTAGGCCACCGCACCAGTCCACTGTACCAACTATGATGTGGTCCTAAATTCTGGAACAGCATCTATTTTTTCTGAAATAGATTTTCTGGAACAGCCCTCCGTAACTTGGGTCCTCAGAAGAACTCTTGACTTAGATTCCTAGACAGATACACAATATTCAAGTCTTTTTTTTTTTACTTTGTTCTTACCTTGCCCTGCCCCTTCATCAGAACAATGTTGGAAATAATAGATGGCTGCGTAAGTCGCCAGGGATATTCAACCTGAGCTGCACTCAACGAACGAGTGGATTTCTTAACAATGTGGTACTCCTTCAGAAATAAAATAATCACAATAATGGTAAAAGAACCAGAATGGTTATGTCTCAGTTATAGGTTCTCTAACTTTCTGGTTAGTAAATAGTCATTAGAACATGGTTACATTTTTTTACATGTAAGTGCTTAAATACAGGTAGTCCTCAACTGACCACAACTGAGCCCAAAATTTATGTTGCTCCGTGAGAAATTTTTAAAGTGAGTTTTGCCCCATTTTACGGCTTTTCTGGCCACCTTTGTTAAGTGAATCACTGGAGTTCTTAAATTAGTAACACGGTTGTTAAGTGAATCCCCATTGACTTTGCTTATCAGAAGGTCATAAAAGGGGATCACATGATTTTAGGAAACAGCAACGGTCATAAATGCGAGTCAGTTGTCAAGCATCCCAACTGTAAATCACATGACCATGGGGATGCTGCAATGGTCATAAGTGTGAAAAATGGTTACAAGTCACTTTTTTTCAGTGCCGTTGTAACTTCAAACAGTCATTAAGTAAACTGTTGAGGACTACCTGTACACACACACACACACACACACCAAAGAAAATCAGGTAGAAAATAAATCAAGTACCAGAGAACACAAGGAAGCATCTTCTAAAATTTTCTGCAATACATTATATTTTTTATTCAAATTAAATAAATATTCTACTATATACAAATAAGCCATCCAAATAATCTTTGCTTGCACATGAATTACAAGTAGTCCTCACTTTAGATCTGTTCATTTGGCAACTGTCCGAAGTTACAACAGCACTGAAAAAAAGAGTTACGATCAGCCAAAGTCCCCATGGTCACATGACTGAAATCCAGGATTTGGCAACTGGTGTTTATTTACCATGGTTGCAAAATGGTCCAGAGTTACGTGATCTCCATCAACAAACAACGTCAATGGGGAAAGCTGGATTCACTTAATAACCACACAATTCACTTAAAAACTGCAGTGATTCGCTTAATAACCATGGCAAAAAAAGGTTGTTAAATCAAAGGCGACAACCACGCTTGTTTAGCCACAGTTGCGTTCCTAATGGTGGCTGTAAGTGAAGGACTACCTATACAGCTTTTGCATTCTGGCTCATGATTGAGTTATATTTCTTTTAATCTTTGGTCCCTCCATCAATTACCAATAGTTAAAATGAGGAATTATTTGGCTGTAATATCTCAGATGATGCTATATATTCGTTTTTTTCTCCTCCTCACCTGTCTGGTTCCTGTGTCCAAATGCTGCGGTAAGGAATGCTTTCGGCCTCCCCGGGAATATTTCATTGGTATTTCATAATTCACATCTCCATTTTCTACCGTCAACTCATCATCTTCTCCCACAGACTCTAAACGAGTTGCCGCCCCTAAAGAATAACCCAGAGATACAATTTATTATACATACATCAAAGCCCCTTTTAAGATTGTCAGTTCTAATGGAATTTAGAATGTCCATGGAGAAATGATGGATGGATGCATTTCTTAAAACATCTAAACAACTGTAATAAATTTTATCTTTGTGTGTGTGTGTGTGTGTGTGCACAGGCATGCATGTGGATATATGGGCAGGGGTAATTTATTAAAGCAATGACAGAAGACACTTTTTTATCGAAATGCTTATTTAATCACAAACAGCGCTATTTACTGATTTTAAAAAAAAGACAGAACTCTTATATTGTATCTGAGCTCCAGGTAAACAAAACAAAAGGAAAAATAGTTTATGCATGCTATCAAATCAAGCGCAGGTTCATATTTTTAAAATCCTCAAAGGATAGACAGTGAGAAACTTTACGAATTACTTTGTCTCGTGCCTTCTATCCTGTGCACTTCAATCAGCACCAATAATCCAATTCTAAATCCTGCTGCCAACCAGAGGACAATATGAAGAACACATGTCAGCGTTCCAGTGAAACTCTCCATTTCATTCAGCATTCAGAAACAAAGTTCATCCAAGTGAGAATTGATTGAAGAAGTCATACTGCCACATCTGGGAAAACCTGAATCTGAATATCACAAACGCATCCCCTGAACCCATCAGTACATCACATGTACTGGATACATTCCTCCAGCCACTCCTTCCCAGGTGCGGGGTAACTTGTCCTTGACTTTATGAGAGTAATGTTGTTGAGTCTGCAGTAGCTGCTGACCAGCTACTGTAAAAGCTGATGCAATGAGGATGAGTCAACAGAGTTATTGCCTCTTTAAGACTGAGGATGGGTTCCACAGGGTTTTACCACTTTAAGAAGCTGTCTATATATAGGAGGCCATGAGAGGGCGTATTTTCTCTCCTCATGTTGTATCTCCATTGTGGTTCTCCATGCAGAGTAAAGATTGATTGATTGCCAGGTATTTGCCTACCATGTATATGTATGTATATAGCTGTCTTGTATATAAACCACTGTTAAAAGACAAAGCCTCTGTGTGTGCTGTGTTTTGCAGCTGAATTGTCTCACAATAGTAGTCACGCTGCAAACACTCTGACACTAATCTTCAACCGCTCTATGCAATCCCCCCTCCCAAATTCCCAGGCACTAAAAATGTGGCAGCTTTGAGCTTTTAAGTAAAAATATGGCTTCCAAAGATGACACCTTTCTTAATCATAGTCCTAAAATTGTGGAGGACCTGCTTTGAAGAGGTTCACCTGATACAGTCTTTGAGAGCTGCCACCATTGATGGGTTTCTCTGTCCTCACACGGAAGACCAGCGAGATGTTTTTTACACCCTGATGGCTCTTTTTAGACAGCTTCCATAATTATCTTTGTGTTTCATCTTTTCAAAGGCTTTGATCCTTCTCATTATCATTTTATTAAAATTTTATTTGAGATACATGCTCTATCTGTTAAAGATTGCAAATCCAGAGACCATAAATACCTCAAATAACTAAAGGAGATGGAAAGGAGATGACTCGGCGAGGAACATACTAGTAACAAGGAAAAAAATGTAAGTCTTTTGGTCCAGTGCTACTTTTAACCTTAAAAATCTAATTTCAAAGATAAATGTAGAGCAGTGGTCTCTCGTCTTTCTGGCTCAGCATATTAGTAGAGGAAGGAAAAAGAGAATGGTTTTGTGTATGTGTGCGCCGCTTTCACAAATGCAGTTTCATGCATGTGCTCACACACACATGCTCATACACCGCTTCCGTGCCTCAGTTCCAAACGGGCTACAACCCAACAGTGAGCCTCAGACCAGGAGTTGGGGACCTCTGGTGTAGAGGAATTTGCTCTTGTATTGGTAATGCAATGATACACCTATCTAGCTCAGTATGATTTAGTTCTAAGTGCCACACACTTTTAAGAACACCAGCAGAAGTATTTCTCATGGATATTTTTTTCTTTATTCTTCCTCTGAACTATTCTCTTTTCTCAAGGAGATCCAGTACCAGGGATAGGATTCAAGAATCCCAGCAATCGGTTCGCTGCCCAGTTGCTGGGTGGGCGTGGCCTACCGGTACTTCCAGGAGGGCCATTTTTTGCCTTCCCAAGGGTCCGGAGGCTTCCCTCGGGCCTCTGGGAGGGCAAAATTGGTCTCCCTCGGGCTCTGGAGGCCCTCTGGAAGCTGAAAACAGGCCTGTTTCTGGACTTCTGGTACTTCCAGGAAGGCCGCTTTTTGCCTTCCCAAGGGTCCGGAGGCTTCCCTCGGGCCTCTGGTAGGGTGAAAACGGCCTCCCCAGGCTCTGGAGGCCCTAAGAAAGCCAGAAATAGGCCCATTTCCAGACTTCCAGAAGGCCCGTTTTCCCCTTCCCAGAGTCTCCGCGCAGATCCTGCGCTTACCTGCATCGAAAATGGGCTGTGTGGAGACTCCTGGAAGGTGAGGGGTGGGCGGGGCGGGGCCAGCCGGTCAGTTCAAATACCAGTTTGGTGAACCGGATGCAAATTTAACATCCGGTTCGACCAAACTGATCCAAACCGGTAGAATACCACCCTGTACAGTATGCTGGCAAACCTGACCTCAACAGTCTTCTAAATCTTCCCATGCTTCTTCATCCAATGAAAAAAGAGGAACCATACCTTGAGATCGGCTCCTGTACTTCAAAATACCACCTCCAAGGGTTGGGCTCTGACAGTTCTCTTTGGAGCTCTCGTCTTCTGTAAGATCTGAGGACCTGTCCATATCGGTCATGTGTGTCATCTGAAGGAGAAGGGATATTTTTAAAAAGTCCAGCTACATTTTCTAGGATGTGTCATCCTTTCCATAGCTAAATAACGTATTATCCCAAGGAAGCTATAAATGAGGATCTCAAGCAGAATTGTTGCAGCTTATTTGCACTGGTATTTGTAACCAGGAAAAACACACCAGATTTTTTTTCCTTGTCCTAGATTTTAGGACACCGGAATCTACTGAAAGACACAGATGCTTCTTATTTTTTTCAGATGGGAGAACTTCATAGTGAGAACATCAATGCAAAGAAAGATCAATTTTGTAGATTATTATGTTACTGCATATCTTTTCTGTTTGTTTTCTATCGGTCTGTTTTAACAAGGTGGTTTGGAAGAGGATTTTTATTTCTTAGTTGCACACAGACATATTGATGCTTATTTGTAAGCTGTTTTCAACATTGCAGATTAAAACAGAACGAATAAAATAAAGATAAATGGTATCGAATCTGATTCTCTCCCCAACATAGCCCTTGACTTCCATTCATTGCTAAACCTTGATTTCATTCCCACCCCAAGGACTTAATTTTCTTTCCATAATACACTAGATGAGACCTCTAGGAGTTGGAGACCAGGGGTGTGGAGTTTGTCGTTGGTTTCAATAGCTTGCTGAAAGCATACTTTTTATGTTTCTTTTATTCAATTTGCCAAAAGGATCCTAAGATGAAAAACTGATCCTGCAATATAAAGTAAAAAAGGAATAATTTCTATTTTCCAGAGAGAAGAAAGAATTTCTCATTTCCTTTTAGAATAAATTACTTTGTAGAGAACATCAAGTCTGGTATTAGAAGGTGATCTGCAGCACCAAATAATGGACAGATTACAGCTGACAGCCTATGGCAACAAATAAAATATACTCTATACATTAGGAAGCTTTATTTTTTTCAGGGTAAAGAACCAAATCCTGGAATAGGGCACTAGAACTGGAGAAGGTAAATGTTTCCCTCCTCTCAAATATATGCCAATTTTCTGATTGAAATCATTCCTATTCTCAGGAAGGGCTGATAATATTGCAGGAACAAGGCACATGTGATATGAAGGGTTGTGGGGTGGTCAGTGGCAAAATACATCCTTTACATACAAGCAATTAGACTTTCCATTTCTGATATTTCTAGCTTTTGTGTGTGCATCTGTCCCTTTGAATCACCGCTGACTTCTACTTGCTTGTAGGTTTTTTGGCAAGATTTTCGGAAGTGGTTTGTCCTAGTCTCTCTCTTAGGACTGAGGGAGAATGACTGGCCAAAGGTTACCCAGCTGGCCTTGTGCCTAAGACGGAACTAGAATTCATGGTCTCCTACTTTCTAGCCTGGAGCTTTAACTACTACACCAGACAAACATTTAAGGGAAAGGAAGAAAACCTGATGATGAGAAATTATAGTGACCGTAACTTGGTAGCCTGAAGCATCCTAATTTCAAAATACTTCAGCAAATGATTAACTTCCTAAGCTGGGGTGTCAAACTCGATTTTATGGAGGGCCGCATCAGGGTTGTGTTTGACCTCGGAGGGCCGGGGTGGCTGTGGCCAGGGTTAGGCATGGCTGGGGTGGGCGCAGCTAGGGTGGGCATGGCCAGCTTGATGTCACTCGTGTTGGGGCCACCTGTGATGGCCAAGTGCTAAGGCAGGAATTCCCTCAGACCCTTCTCACTCTCATTATAGTCTCCTTCCTTCCTTCCTTCCTTCCTTCCTTCCTTCCTTCCTTCCTTCCTTCCTTCCTTCCTTCCTTCCTTCCTTCCTTTTCTTTTTCCTTCCCTCTTCATATTCTTTTCTTCTTCCTTCTCCTCTTTCCTTATTTTTCCTTCCTTGCTCTCTTCCCATCTTCCCTTCTTTGTCTTTGCCTTTCCTCTTTCCCTTTCTTCTTTCCTGTCTTTTCTTGCATGCTCAAATGCAAAAGGGGAAACATTTCTATGTTTGTTTTATTTTTAGCTTGTTCTGATAGCCCTCTGCCAGTGAAAATGGAGCTGGGGTGTGTCTGTGTGCACCCTCCCTCAGCCCCTGTTTTCAGCCATGATGGCCTCCTGCAGCCCTCTGCTCCCCCCCCCCCCCCCCCCCCCCCCCCCC